TCTTCTAATGATCCTCTTAGCAAATATAACCTATCATGGGCTTGTATTTTGACAAATTTGATATATTTCATACCAAATTCATGTATTGTTTGTATTTCTTTATAGATCGATCACTGTTCTTTATCGTCACCTATTTCATATGTTTTCAAATATATGTTCTTACATATGGTTCTAGATGGCAGTTTCAAAATAATAACACGTCTTATTTACAACCAAACACTGGAAAAAAATCTTGGAACCCATGAAAGTTGCTTAAATACTTTGAGGTTACCAGTAGGTAAAACTAAATACATCCTCAATCCTCCAGGTAACTCGTATAGCTTAGGTCGACAGTTACTCAGGCGGTTTTATCAAAGGATAACACCCGAGAAAGAAGGTATGGTTTTGGCTTTATTGTGCTCTAAAAATTTAATGTTTTCAAAAAGTTATGGAATAGGCTTAAAGTCAAGAATTTATGAATGTGATAAATCATGCAAGAAAATGGCATGAAGGAGAACCATTTTGGAAATATGACGTCATTAATTTGGTACATTTCTACGTTTTTAACAGAAAAAGCCTTCCAATGACTAATTTCTGGGGTTATTTTCTTAAGAAAGTAGTGTCCACAACCGTCGCCTACTTCAATTTTCGGATATATTGTGTAAAAATCACATTTCTCAAAATCTTTGTGGGCGATACATGTGCTCTATATTATCTGAGAGAAAATGCCACTGAAAATTGATGTCTTCTACAACATTTTGAGAAAATACGGGGAAATGCACAATTTTATGACGTCACAATTAGCATTTTGGAGGTCATATAAGAAAAACGATTTTTATGTTCTTACTACATGTAATTTCAACGATTCAGAAAGCAGGAATTTTAATTTCTTTTAATTTCACTTTCATATTTTAGAAATATACAGGGCCATTTATTTGATTCCTTTTTATATTTCATAACTTCTTTTAATGGGGATATATTAGCAATCAAACAGTAAAACGTATTTTCTTAAACATGTATTTCCCTCCGTAGTTTCCCTGGCTGAATTCTGAAGATGTATTTTAGTATCACCCATTGCTGTCTGCAAACAAATCTCGATCCCGATTAAATTTATGCTACGCTTTTCGTAATGTATAAAATATTATTTTATTTAATTTTAAAGACATGCACGAAGGCCAAAGAATTCCTCTTACACACGAAATCACCTAATTAAGTATATTTAAAAAATTTACAAAGAAGAGCATTGGAATGGATTTTATATCCTGTCAACTGGATTGTTGGAATTTTCATCGATTAGATTCCAATACATTCTTATATGCTTGATCCAACATAATACAGTCAAACGCATGTTTCAGATATAAGAAAATATAACTCATTTTGAAATAAATTTTTTTTGAAATCATACAATCAAAATAGAAAAAAAGTGTAATTATCTAAGGTTTCATTAATCCCTATTATTATTTGTATTATTCCATGCACATAACACTGGAATTTTTCACTCATTTATGAAAATAAAAAATAAAAAAAAAAGCACTTCAAATTTTATATGTATGTATCACAAAATAATATAATTGTTGATGTTATTAATTTTTTATTGGAATACATCGTTCATAGTCAGTAAAACTGTTATCTGCAATTAACAAAATTGAATGAAATTAAAATTAGATGCTTCAAACTAATGGTTGTACACAATGAAATTGGTTAACGGCTGTCGAATTGAATGGCCGTACAATTGAATGATTGTTAAATGTATTTTTTTTTTGGTATTAGAAATGATCTGCTGAAAAATTCAATTATTTATTTAAAAAAGGATATTAAATATATAGATAAAAACAACCGAATTTAGCGATGAAAAAAAAAAGTTCATTTCATATAACAGAAAATTCGAATTTCTGATCTCAGAAAATAATTTTGTAATATTGAAAACTATTTAAAATATTAAAATAATTTTTCACAAGTACAGTCTTGTTGTTCGCGATGATAAAAATGTATTTCTATCCTACCATGGCAGTGATAAATATAGTCAAACCGCTATTATGTAGTTGGTAAAGTAACAGTACAAAAATATCGGTTACCAGTTTCGTTTATTTTTCGAATTTCCAAATAAAGAAATTCCGGGCTTCAATAAGTCATACCAAAATCTAAGCATCATATGTTTTGATTTTATACTCTAGAGGGTAAAGCGACAAATGATGGTCAAAGTTTCGGTCAGAAATGTGTAAAAAAGAATCTAAATTCTTCTCAATAACAGCAGAGCCACTATCAATCATACTGACAATAACTTTCATGTAGTGCAGATTCAACTTTTTGAACTGTGTCCTTACCCGTTGGTAAAAAGAGAGGGTAGAAGATTCCCATGTCTCCTGAGAACAGTAGGGCAATAGATAATTAAGGAATAACTGTCTAATTTTTTGGTTTCATGATGTGATCAATCGATTGGCTTGCGTAATAATTTGCATAAACGCCAAAGGCGTTTATGCATAAAATTATCACGCAAGCCAATCGATTGATCATCGTCATGAAACCAAAAAATCTGACAGTTATTCCTTATATTTACATGCTCTTGATTCTGCAAATTCACGTGCTACAAGCCCCGCTTCTGTCTCTATTCGTCCCGCCCCGCACGTTATTTTTTTTTCACCACGCCTTTCGATGAACCAGTAGATTTATGTAGAAATAAAGTATTTTTACTATTTGAAATTTTATCTCGGACAAAGACATTGGAAATGTAAATATTTATAAATATGCATGTTTAATCATCAGTTTTTTTTAAATTCAAGTTTGCTGAAATCGTCAGAAGGGATGATAGGGTATGGTCACAATAGGGGATTAAACTTTTAAATGGATATGAAGAATTAAAAAAACAAACAAACAAACATACAGTAAAAATACTATCACGCGGTAGGATAAGGCTGTCCATGAAATATCACAGTGTTTCAGCTGCAGTAACTTCTCTGAACTACCTAGATATGACGTCATAATAGCATATGACGTCAAGTCACTTCACTTGAACTGACATGAGGGAAAAATGTCATAATTTTTTACATTCCTTGTAGAATTTTCATGTTGAATTAAAATCTCAAAATGTCTGGATTGTCTTAAGTTTTAATGTGCTTTTGTGATGGTGAACATTTGCGATACAAAATCGTTTTTCCTATTTCCTTCTGATATACAGCGTATTCAAACAATAACGAAAGGTATATTGTGAAGCGCTCTCCGTTAATCGTCAGTACATAGAGCTATAATTTATAAATCGTATTTAGAATGGCAAAAGTGATTAATAAAGATAAATTAAAGATATTCTGTGTGAATCTAGAAGAGATTTATGTCCTACAGATAACAAAAACTGGGTGACTGTATGTGACATAGCCTATTTTGAATGAATTGCGATGAAGAGAAGAAGAATACACCAATGCGTATGCGAAAGTTGAAGTTTTCACGAAATACTTACATTACAAGAAAAATTCAGGCACTTTATATGTACAATATAATACGATTAATTGACTTATGTAATAAAAAGTTTACAAAGATTTTGTTTAACACTTGTGCCGATGCCATTTTTGTGCATCATTTAGGAAAAATTATGTGTCCATCACATGATCAACAGAGTCATCTAACACCTCAAATGCTTTATTTCAATACCTGCTAAAACTCTCTTTGCGAATTGGATGTACATGTATTCATAGTTTACAAACTGAAATCAAAACCCACCTGGAAATAATAGATTATATTTCTAATACATATTAAGCCTTTGGACAACCTTAACATAGCCTCATAAAAATTCAACATCCGAATGTACTGCAGATTAATATTTTGAGTCATGGTCCAAATGACTTAAACTATGTAGAAAAAAAATCTGAAAAAACTGTTCAAAAAAGGCTGCAGGGTCTGTGACACAGATAAGCATTGTTGTCCATTTATCTCTTGTTTTAACAGCTGGTTTTCTCCACTGATTTAGCAATTTTTTAGATCATTATTCTATTTAATTTAAATTTGAAAAGAATTTTTGACATTAATATACTGTAAAAGAACAACATTGAATCTAACTTTGTTATATTATATATTTATATTATATAGGGATTTGTATTGTACTACATTCCTGTTGCTAGTGAATATGCTAACAAATTTCATAGCTGAATGAAATTAACAAAATATTTTTGTTTCATCCAGATATATTGAATGATTTGTCAACACCAATGTATGTATCAACTGCCTTCAAGACCGGGGCACACTTTATAAAAGGTGAAACTGACAAGAAGACTTCTGACCAATTTGATAGTATCATTATAATGTTCAAAACATATGTGTACAAATCTACATATGGTTGTGATTAACATAGAAACAGCGCAATTCAAATAAGGCATAGAAAAATGAAGACACGGTTAAACAATTTGGCGTTGTCTATGTATAACCAGCATATGACCACCTTTTGTAAAGTATTTCATACAATATGAAGAGAACAGTTAAGAAAATTGAATGAATTTTAAAATTAGATGCTTCAAAGAAATGGTTATACAAATGAAATTGGTTAATGGCTTTCAAATTGAATAGCCGTACAATACTTTCTGCAAAAAATTATATATAGTGTACAATCACATGTTTTCGAGGTTGGAGGAAAAATATTGGTTAGTTAGGATATGATTTCTTCGTTCAAGAATTGTTGAATTGTTAAGCATTTGAAATTTTACATTTCGTGGAGGACACAAATTCGTGGGTCTCTCTATTTCACAAAAACAACAGAAATAGCTCCTAACGAAAATTAGTGATTTTACAGAATATATACACACTAGAGAAAATTTCTAATGCACCACCGAGGAATATTTGTATTTAACTTTTCAAAAGTCGCTTGACCTGATGTATTTATATTTTTAAAAATGTACTACTAATAAAAGTTAGTTATTTAAGTGTCTTACCTGATAAATAAATACAATGATAACTGAAGCCCAACTACTTCATAGAAAACATGAAAATTATGCTAACGGTTTGAGGAAGATTCATTTTTATTCTACAAAATTAAAAACATGCGCGGCGGTCGTCCTGAGAAGAGCGAGCTAAAGCAGTCTGTATGGTTTTGGCATTTAAAAGGTTTGTAAAATTTGTAACGATTTTAAGATTTTTTTTTCTTCTAATGAAAAATGTTGCAAATAGGATAATAAACATACGGATGTTTTTTTTATATGACAACAGCATTCAGTTGTGACCACATGGCAATTACAAGATTGGTCCACAGAACTGGGGTAACCGGAAGTGTGGGGGACGAGGTATGAACTCCAAAGCAGTGGATAGCTACAAGGTGGTATGATATACAAATCGTCATGTATCATTTGATTTTGACTCGGACACCGCTTCTGCTGCTAGATCACTGACCACCACTGGCAACCACCAACTTCATACCAGGGCAAAAACGGTGCGCAGTGGATTTTGGGAAAATAGTTTCGGGCAAGAAGGTCATTTGAGGGTCTTGTCATGACTACAAGACATTTGCCAATTCGACTACATTGGGCAAAAAGGCATATTAAATATGCAAGAGTCGATAATGCAAATGCTCAATTAGCAAATGAGAATATTGAGTGTTGCGTTAGCAATTTATTTTAAGTAAATATATGAATAATTATCCTAGAAGGAAATATACTCAAGGTATGTATTTTAGTAAAAAATAAAAGATGCTGACAATTTCATTTTTGTCTATTTTTAGATGTTTTGAAAAAACAAGTTATGAGAAATCATCAGAATCTCAGAAGTACCGGGTTTCAGTACATGAAAAACTTAAACAAGGGAAAAGTTTGAAAAGTATAACATTTTATAGAAGCATAAGATGATTGTAATTTCATTCATGAACATTGATTTCAAGTATTCTTTTTCTTATCATTATATATGAAATTTACAAAGTTCTGAAATATTACAAGTACGAAAGAAAAACATAATGACATCACCGATGATGTTTATACAGAAATACCTCACACTGAGGATTAAATCAACTAGATATGGTAATGGCTGGTGAACGTAAGTTAGTATACACATGCAGACTGTGTTTAAAGGTACATTATGATCACCGCTGGAAAAGCTGTACTAAGAGTTCTTATTTGTATCTATGCAAAGGAATATTAAATATATGTCACAATTTTGTTGTTGTAAAGAAAAAAAACATTGCTAGCTTTAACTGTTTTCATGAAAAAATTGATTTTGTTCATTCAAATGTGTTGAAAAGCTTTATGTGTCTTGCAAACATTGAGACAATATACTATATTTTATTGCCGTAAGAAAAAAATGTTTCTAGGCACACCTTCCTTCCTATTGTTCTAGTTTAAAGTTTCCAAGAAATAGCACCATAAAACAAGGGAAAGCAAAATGAATTTTTAAAATATTTTTGGAGATAATTGGTAGCAAAAACTAATGATATTTTTTGATTAAAAAAGGAAAGTTTTTAGAAATACATAAATATAAATTAATGTTATTTTTTTTTATGAAATAAGCAATATAGGCCACAGGTTCATGCAAAATTTTAGTCTTTGGTTTTTAACACGAAAAATAGTATTAACATATGCTAGTAAATTTTATGAAATGCAAAATTTTGATCGTTAGTAGCGTGAAATCGATCTTTGATAATAATATGATATAAATCAGCATACAATTCATGAAATGTACGCAAGTTTAAAATAAAAAATAAAGCAGAGAAAAAATCGATCAGATAAAAATAACACAACAAACCGACAAAAAAAATCAAACAACCAATCAATTTAACAATATAAGAAATTAAAGTAACAGTCATCGAAGAAAGTTTAATTTTTTACCATCGAGGATATAGCATCATGTCTAGGTAACATGATCAAGATCAGTGTAGAAATTTGTAAGCATTTTTAACATGTTTAACACGAAACACAAGTTTTAAGACAGCATATATGACCATTTCTTTTAAAGATAAAAAGGACATACGTAATGGTATAGAATTGCAATTTCTTTTCTTTTTTTAATTTAAAAAATTGTTGTTTGTTTGCATGACTACTGCTGTGTATTAAATAGTCCATAAATCATAAATACGAGAGTTGCATGGCTTAATCATTTCAGCAATCGATATAATAACTGAATCAGATATACTCTTCACTTCTTTAAGCCGAATTCATATTACTCCACGGAGAACTCCAGCATAAGAGACTAAGCAATGTCGAATAGAGATTTGTGTTTTAGAATTGAAACAAAGGGATCACTATAGTTGTTTTTTTTTTAATTTCAACAAACCAATGAGAAATGTAAAATCACTAATAAATCAGTCTTTAGAAGAATAATGCAAACATATATGTTTGATAGTACCGGTATTGGTTTTTAGTAGACAGTGATTTGTTTAGGATATATGTTAGAAAAATTGGATATAAATCTCTGGATCAAATCAGAAAAGGGGTTTGTACGTAAATGATTAGCAGTATGTAAGTTATTAGATTTCCTTTACTTGAGTCAATAAAAGTTATGAGTACATCACTTTCTTAAAGATATATTACCAGGCAGATCAAGCTCCTGAGATAGATCTCTGAACATGATACAGTATAAAAAAGTTAATCCAAAAACTTTTCTGCCAAATAACACTATAAAACTATGTCCATTCAAATTTCTTCTTTTGTAATTATATATTTTCTTGCATTGCCAATGTTCACATAATATATTTTCATTAATGTATGGTATCAAATGATACTATTCAAATATGTTACCAAATGGTTTGTTATCACGAAAGGTATGCCTTATAAAAGGTAATAATGAAGAGAACCATAGGATATATGCTACTTGTGCATAACTGCTAGACTTTGTGTCTCTGAAAAAAGGTAAGAACGATGATTTTTGTTTTATTGACAAACAATAGAAATCCTTTTTGAAAAAAAAAAAATCAATTCATTCTGATGCTTTTGAATAATTTGAATACCAATCTAAGAAAAAAACCCCGAAATAAATACACGAATTGCACAGGTACTACATCTGATTTAATCAACATATTGCATCCTGAATATTATTTTTATTTGAAGAGATATATTTAATTTACAAGTTCGAGAACTTCTATTTCGTATGAATACCTTTCTCATTAACTTTCTTCGATAAAGAATTTTTTTAGGGCTAAAAGTGTTCTCGTGTAAAAATATGGTTTCTGGCATGACTCCTTGTTTTTCATCTTTTTTTTTTTTTACAGAATGTGTCTCCTAGTTTCTGTTTTTGGATTATGTGCAATGTTAGGCAGCATTGCTACTGAGAAAGTGTCACCCCGACCCAGTCTGAAGTCATTCAGAGATGACTATGACAATGTCGCTAAAACATGTGTGGCTGTTGGCTATGTGAAAGAGAACTGCAAAAATAATCATAACAAAAGTAAGGCACAACCATTTAGATCATTAAATTAAACATACGTATTACTTATATGTATTCAACATTATTACTTATTAGGTTTGTTACTGACTGTTTACCGATATATATCGCGTTGATCAATGTAATGGCGGTGCGGAGCCGAGCCGTCTATGAGGTTGTTCAACCCGATATATTTCGGTAGACAGTCAGTAACAAATCTGATATGTGACTTATTTTCTGGAGAGTCGTTGTGTGATATGAGCACCAGACAATTTAAACCAATAGCAACGTAAAGTTTATTTAAGGAAGGGGGTCACGGAAATTCACACTTAAATCTGAGGGGGAATAATTTATTAAGCGGGTTCTCCAATATTTCTTTTTAGGAAACATGATTATAGCATTCCAGACTAAAGGCATAGCAAATATTCATACAGTAAGTCAAGGGAAAACCGTCATGTTTGGAGAAGTAGATCTGAATTTAGGAGGAGGTTACAACTCTGTTAAAGGAGTTTTCATTGCCCCGAAGGCAGGTGTGTACATCTTTGGTTGGAAAATATTTACTGACACAAACAAAATAGCCTACACCTCTTTAGTCGTGAACGGAAAACGAAGGGCATACAACCCATGTCATAATAACGGACATGGTATCGATATGACATGCAGTGAAATGGCTGTTGTGAGAATGGCAGCTGGGGATAAAGCTTGGATTGATTCCTTTTACAGTACAGCATCTATTAACTCTAAATGGTGTTCTTTTTCTGGTTTTATGTTGTAAATGTTAAAAGAAATATGTACAAATAAAATAAAAATGCTTGTCTGATTTCAACACGAGGAGAATAAAATTTACTGAGGCTATTTAGAGTGACGTTTTTTCTGAACTAACTAGATCTGATTCACTCCTAGCTTCTGACATGCCACTCATATATATATATATATATATATAGAGAGAGAGAGAGAGAGAGAGAGAGAGAGAGTAGGAAAGCAAAATTCTGGTTTGATTTGTAAAAAAGAAATCTTATGACTTTTTTATTTTTCTTGAACTTCGCGTTTTCATCTGTATGTTCATTTAAACACGCGTTCTGCACCTGTCTTGAATACGTACCTCAAAAGTCTACTGAATTACAAACAGTGGCTCTTTTCACAAAAAAATACCAATATAGGAGTCAAAATACTGAATTATGTGTTCGGAACCTGTGTATGAGATTAGGTCGACCTAGTGGGATGATTAATGAATTGCAGCTACTATTTCTTTTATTCTCATTAAAATTCTCAATATTGAGCTTGTGTTATTTAGATAGCAAATATAATCTCCATGCCCTTATATTTTTTTTATTTCCGTAGAAAGTAATAAGTAATGTTGTCCAGTACATTCTTAGCATTCCTCTCAGACAATCTTTGTGTGTACATTCTTTGAGGTGATTTAGCTTGGGATTAGTAATTTTACAGTAGTATTTGCTATTTAGCTGACGTTTATCTTCATAGTAAAACGTATACACGTCTTGTTTTGTCAGCTTTTTTGATAATGATGTGTCTATGACCCTTTAGCCCTTTTAATGCTTGTCGTTCAGGTAAATTGTAAATTGTCAGATGATTTGCCAGTTTTAATAGATGAAAATTCAAGTCTCTTTTTGTCAATACATGTTTAAACGGATTGTTCATAACTGGAGGTTCAAAATCGATTTTCATGCGAAAATGGTACAACTGTCACTATTTAGACCATGGAACATATATTAATTTTCTTGTGTTAGCGTAAAAGGTATCAAAGCAATACATTTCTAGTTCATTGTTTTACAAATAATATAAAGGTTTTTTCCAGAAATTTTGTACTACCTTTAGGAGACTTTGATAGACATTGAAGACTATACCGTCTTTGTTGAAAATACGAAATCACGTATTTATATAATTATGACATTATAATGATTCTGGCTAAGTGTCTTTTACATGTAAAGTATTTATGCTGATAACATTTGTAAAACATTGTGTATTGACATGGTTTTTACATATTAACTCATCATGGTATATGTTAGAATAAATCAAATACTAGTATCATCGCACACACTTGGCATTGTGGTCAATGTAAATGTTGCAAGAAGTTGGAAAACCATTTTATTTAACGCAAATCATGGATATATTAAAAAGGGGGAGTTTCGATAAATATAATAAATATAAATAAGATAAATATGTTAACTTTTGTTATTTATATTTCAAAAGTTAATATGAGATGAATTCACACCGCAACTGACACATAATTAGATGTACCCTCAGATGCGTTAACATTAGGCTTATGGATAAATATAAGAGGGTGGCATTTATAAATCGATGTTTAGAATATGAAGTGCATGAGGTACACTCACCTAAATTTGCTCAGTAATTAGATATACTCTGCACACTATCTTGAAATATGATGAGTGTCGCGTGTGCACTTCATATCAAAAAATTGAAAATTGCATAAAATTTGCATATCTAAAATTAGAAGCACATGGTTTCTGAATCTGAGTTCCTGTTAAAATACTAATCCAAAAGAAGCATTTTTTTTTAAAGTTAATGCCACATTTTTAGCTCACCTCCACGAAGATCGGGGAGCTTTTGTAATACCGTCGGCATCGGTGTTCCATGCAGGTAAAAGTTTTTGAAGCAGATTTTTTAAGTATATCTATGCCCTACATGTATATTAATCAGAGTCACCTGATCTAGTGTGTTTCCTTGTCACCAGTCAGGTTTCAGATGCTGCATTTTCAGCCAAAGAATGTCCAGTTAATTGTTTTAAAAGCAGGTTTAAGTTTTTGGAGCAGAGCAGCTGTAAGCACTTGTTGACCAGACGGGCTTCATGATGTTGGATCTGACCTATATTTTCTTAATGAGTGAGCGGGTTAAAGATTTTGAAGCGGGTCTCATTCTTATATAACTAAAAGCCCTATCAAGACCAAACTTACACTGATGATGCATCTAGGATGACACACTACCAGGCATGGTTCAGATGCTAGATTTTCTTTACATTTTCCGAGTGGATGAACTAAAAATAAGTTTTGAAAGAAGTCATTTCCTTAACGTTATTTATCATGCATAGTTATTCTAAACATTCTTGTAAATAGAAATCCATGCTCCAACATGCCAGGGAAGCGCCCATATATCTCCTTGTGGTTGATAAAGGGAACGTGGATTGTTTTAAGTCTGGATGTTGAGGCGCATATTTCTGCAGGATTAAGGATTAAACACACATCTTTGGCGTTTACACATGTATTTCGAACTGCGGCTCTGGTCTACCAATTCATATTTAATGAATTCTAAAACTTTCAAAATGAAAAGTGACTAGAGTTTGAGAAGCAACTTAAGTATCTATGGAGAGTTGGGAAGCGAGAGGAAATAAGTCCTGGCTGGGATTCCCTCAGTTATGCTGAAAACATAGCGAGATCTATGTGGGCAAATACTTCTAAGTTTCATAATGAAAAGCAAACACTCAATGCATTATAGGTTTTTCCATCATTTGGCTATTCACATAATTACGTATCATAATTAAATATTTTGACTGCAATTAATATTATTCATATTATCAAATACATTGCAGTATACGGAAGCCGGTAGGTGCTAGGTAAAAAAAAAATATTATCTGGTGGCCGCCATATAATTTTCTGGTGGTCGCCAGATTAGTTTCTAGCGACTGCCATTGAAATATCTGGCGGCCGCCAGATAAAATAGTGCCGTTTTTGCTTAAACGACATCTACAACTTCTGTTTGTAGTCAAATCTGGGAGTTTCATGCCTTATTAGCAAAGTTCAAATCCACACTTTCTAGAAAAATTCATTTCATAAGGTTACGTTTCCCTTGAAATTTATGTTTTATTAGATTACATGTTACACTGCATTTATTTTCTAATTGTACCGATTTTTTTTTTATATTTCAAAACAAATTTTCAAATTAAAAATTAAGTTTGATGATATTAAAGTGTATTTTTATAAAACATGTAGTTGTATAAGCTCATTGATGAATATGTATTGCATAAACCTGTATATGAACGTTTTGACCTTTACATATTTTATGTGTACTTATCTTTTCATTTGCATTTTTCGTATTGGAAAATGTTATATATTGATTAAACAATTGTATAAACTGTCGATCAATTATGATTTTAAAACTTTCTGTATATTTTAACATTTTATAAGTTAAATTCATCCTCTTTTAAAGAAAAGTAACATTTAACACACCAGAACAATATCGCACCTTAAAAGAACATTCGCATAAAATAAATACCATTTTCCGTAAAAAGAAAAATGTTGAAATTGGTTAATATATGTCTTTATTCATATTTATTCTATTTCATTTACGATTTTGACGTTTAAAAAACCCACTTTCCCCTATTAAGATGTCTACTCCCAAAATGTACGAAAGGGGGTATACTTAAATTTTCAATTATCACGTGACCGGAAAATGCGCAACACACATTATTTTCATATTTTTTGGAAGATAAGGAGTTTTTCTACAAAATATCAAGATTTCATGATATTTCGTGAGGGGCCGAAAAACGGCCTTATCGAAACCCCCCCCCCCTTTGGCTAAACATCGAACTGGGCCATGTGTCTTGTATATACCCAGTATATATGCTGATAAAATGTGTAATTGTTTGTGCATTGTGTTGTTCTGAATTGTGATCCATATCTAAATATCATTGCATGAACTTGGCAGTGTCATTAATAAAAGCAAAAATTAGCATACTGTAGAAGTACTCTTTTCTGCGTGGTATTAATTTACGTTACGCGGAAATTTGTCCCAGCATACTTAAAGTACATTTAAAGCATACAGTGGCAATCTTAGAAATCTGCATAATTATCTACCCTTGGATTGAACAGAAATTGCGATTTTTGTGGAATGTGACCCCATGAAAAAAGTACGTTTACAGTTTGCCCACAAATTTTGTGGACAGTCCTCGTATAAATGTAAATTTCACAAGATTTCCGAGACCTTAGAAACCTGGAAGTCATGTTGATACGATTAAAAAAATAAGTCACTGTAAATTTCGTCCATGGCATAACATCTTAATTTTAAAAAATAAAGATTACAGAAGGGCCTTCTCTATGATTATAATGTTTACGTTGTATAGAAAATTCCATCCAATCAATTAATACTCATTAATTCTTAGATTTTAAGTTCTTGAAGTAAGCATATATAACCATTTTTTAAAATCCCATTGTATGCAATTTAGGAATCAGAAATAGAACCTAATATATTGACAATGTTGAGAATCAATTAGAAAAAGAATGAGAGGAACTAGAGGGAAAGCGTAACTTTGAGCTATATAAACTAATGCCCTGTTCACCCGGAGAGTTTAATTCGAATTAAACGTAAGTTACTGCGAAGTAAATTTGATCCGCGTTCACACAGAGAATTTAATGCGAATTAGTTTACTGCGCATTAAATTACTTCGCATTACCTCCGCTAAGCGAAGCTAATTCGAATTAAATTTGACGCATGCGTAAGGGCAGAATTAAGTCATAGGCCAAATGTCGATGGTCAAATATAGGTACTTGTGCTATTTTTGAGTGGAAAACAAAGGAAAATTATGTTAATCACTTAAATGCATACAGACACTTACATTATGTCAAATGTATATCTGCTCTGCACAATATGACGTGATTTGTAAATGACGTCATAATAGCCTCACTGAATAGCCTTGTTGTAGAAATAAAATCATAATTCGCATTAGTTTACTTCGCATTAGCTGCCGTGTAAACGCAATTTATGCGCTGTTCACACGTAGAGTTTAATTCGCAGTAAATTAAT